ATTGCCCTGCCACAGAGGCAGGGTGGGATGGGGGGGGGATGGGGGTGGGAGGTATATTATCCATGGTGGTGGAAAATGGGCACTGGTGGAGGGATGGGTATTTGATCATTGTATAATTGAAACCCACGCACAAAAAATTGTAAATCTACAACTATACCTCATGGTGTTTCACTAATAAAAAAAAAAACTAACTCCTCGATTTTGGGTGGTAAGATGATGCTGAAACTTGATGCTGGGAATGTTTCGTGTACATATTAAAAGTGTAAAACTAGGTGCTGGAGTGATAGCACAGCAGGTAGGGCATTTGCCTTGCATGTGGCCGACCCGGGTTTGATTCCCAGCATCCCATATGTTCCCCTGAGCACTGCCAGGAGTAATTTCTGAGTGCAGAGCCAGGAGTAACCCTTGTACATTGCTGGGTGTGACCCAAAAAGTAAAAAAAAAGTGTAAAACTAAAACCTTGCAATTTAACAATATCATTGACCAATGATAAATGAGTTAGAAAACAAAATAGTGTGTTGGATTTCTATAAGATGCCATTGGTCCTGGTAAGTCCCTGATTGGGTTGCTCTGTGTTAAATGGAGCATGGATTTCACAGACGTATCTCTGTTTTGGGTCATAAAACAGGTTTATAAAAAGCAAACAAACAAACAAACAAACAAAAAACAGGCTGAAACTGATATCTAAGGCCAGGGAAAACTGGTCAGGAGGACTGGTCAATGGCTGGAAATTACTACAAGGGTGTGGGGGGCAGAGGGTAGTTAAGATAGAGGAGAGTCCACTATAACAACATTGGTTGAAATGGTCACTCTGAACAAGGAGTGTTGAAAGTAGGTAAAAGGATGTACATGATAAACTTTCAGTATCTTTATGGAAAATCATAATGCCTAAAATTTTATATATATATAGAGAGAGAGATAGAGGGAGATAGAGAAGAGGTGCTTGGAGGGGTGGGAGGGAAACTGGGTACATTTGGTGCTGGGAAATTATACAGGTGGAGGTATGGGTGTTGGAACATTGTATGACTGAAAACCAATCATGAACAGCTTCGGAAAAAATTAAATGAAAAAAAAACATCAAAAACCACCCAAAAGTAATATTCTACATGTATATTTTATTGCAACTCAGAATAATAATGAATTACAACTATTTTTAGGTTGTATTTTAATTAAACACTGTATTTAGAAATTTTATTAAAAAGACAAGTGTATTCACTAGGACGGATTGGAGACAGCTAGTGATAGACTATACTTATCTCCGTTGACTCTGTGTGTCTCCATGTATGTTCACATACACGCGCGCGCGCGTGTGTGTGTGTGTGTGTGTGTGTGTGGGCGTACCTGTGTGTGCCCACAGAAACATGTTTATGAGGGTGGGGGTGAGATTTTCTCCACTTGGTCAACAGAAGTAACCAAGCAGAGATTAATGGCCCTTGGTCATCCCCCAGATAACTTTCTGTTAGACTGTTTTAGGGATAAAGAAAGTGGAGACAAGTTATAGGACCAGAGAAATAGTACAGGAGTTAAAGCACCTGCCTTGCAAGTGGCCATTCTTAGTTTGATCCCTGTTACCACATTTGGTTCCCTGAGCATTTCTAGGAGTGATTCATGAGCAGAGTCAGGAGAAGTCCTGAATACCACTCAGTGTAGCCCAGTCCCTCCACTTCCCCAAAGGAGAGAAAACTGGATAGGATCTCAATGAATTGTCAGTGTGAAATGTCAAATATTCAATGTTTCCGGAAAGTCTACTTCCGAAACTCACTTCTGTCTCTCACTTGGACATCTTCCTCATGTGCAGCAGAAGTGGACCTGCATGGGGTTTTTCGGGCATATAAACACATAAAAATGCAGAACAGAAGGCAAAAGGCATGGAATGCCCCACTAGAATGGTTGATTTGAATACTTATTTGATAGGACTGAGCAGAGACTGGGACTCAGCGTCTGTGTCTGACTGAACGTTATTGGGTAATTAGACATTAATATGAATGTTGATTATTGCTGCGTCAGTTTTGTGTAGCTCTATTTTGCATTTTCTACATAATTGTATGTGGCTCTTAATAAGGTTTTACTTAATTGTACCAGTTGGGTTTTAATACTATATTAACAATTGTATTCTGGATTTCCTTTCATTAACAACTCTTTTCTTTCTAATTTGAACTTTTGATCAAAGAAAAGGATAATGTTAAAAATTGACTATTTGCAATGTAAAAAAATTAGTCACATCATTAAGGTTCTTAACAGCTGAATTTAAATATAGTATCTGCTCCTCTAGGCTCTGTCCAAATGACTGTGATTTCCTGCAGATATTGACTCATCAGTCAGTTTGGGTTTGTCAGTTTATATTTATACTATATAAAGGGCTCTTTTTTTTTTGGAGTTGACTTTTTAAAAATTTGTAATAGTGTAAATAGAAAGGGAACAAACACGCTACTTTAAAATCAAATCTGTCTTAGTAATTTAATTTACAAAACTAAAAAATATTGCACACAGATGCTTTAAACTAAATAGTGGTTTATATGCACTGTCTAATGAAGGGTGTCTAAGTAAATCATTGTGTCAAACCAGCCTCTTAGAGTTTCATTCAGCTCAGTGCCTGGGTCCGTCCAGATGTCTCTGTTCTTAGAACTCTGTTCTGCTGCTGACTGACACAAAGTAACACATATAATTAATATGCAAATAAAATTATCTATATAATTAGGACTTGGAGACAGATTTTAAATCGTTCTTGTCTGCACAGATCACTTTACATATTTATATTTCTGAGGAAGGTAACTATCTAATTAAGTGGCTTTCCCACAACTGTGGCTAATTTAGGCCAATTTCTAGAAATCAGGTCCTAATTAAATAAAACTCAATTTTAGAGGTAGTTTAATGCTTTGGTTCTTGATGAAGGTAGCAAGGAAGTATCTTGGCATAAGGCAAAGCGAAAAACACACTCTTTGGGAGGGGCTGGAGGCAGACCTCAGTTGGAGTCAGAACTGCTCCCTTAGGGTGAGAGAGAGAGGTGTGTGGGCAGGGTCCTGAAGTGGACACATGTCACCTACAGGTCCCGCTTTCCTGTGTCACAGTGACTGGTTTCAGCCTCTACCCTCAGGCCAGGCAACTAACTTTCTGTCCACACTATCCGGATGGTAAGGAAAACATGATAGTTCATTTTTCACTCTTCTCTTCAAGCCAAATTACATAAAATTGACCATCTAAAATTTATTTTTAGACTGGGCCGTTTGCTTTATGTTTGTTGACCTCAGGAATCGGTTCAGGTTTCAGTGGGGTAAATAAAAAGAGTAGAGTGAGGAAGGGAGTTGTTGGAAAACCCCAGCCATGAAAAGAACAGGGATAGGCTCACCTGGTGACTGGGAGGAGAAAGGGGCGATTTCCTTTGGACGAACAAATCAAGATGCCATCCAAATCTTACCATACGTTCTTTCTAAGACCCTACTCATTTCTATAGCCTCGTAGTTCTATTTATGTATTGTCACTTCTAATTTTATGGTGCAATTTATAAAAATCGCATGTTGATATATTAATTAAAAAAGGGTTAACTGTTGGTTTAATTTTTTGTTGTTGTTTGTTTGATTTTGGGGCGATATCCAGTGATTCTCAGGGTTTACTCTTGGCTTTCGTACTCAGGGATCATTCTTGGTATCCCTCAAGGGACCACATGTGATGTTGGGGAGGAAACTGCATGCAAGGCAAGTCCTTCATACCTATACTATCTCACCAATCTCTTACTTTTAAATATCCTTTTCCAATATTCTGACTTCTACATTTATATCACAAACACCCTGAAATGAAAGTGAAAATGAAACAATGGTCAATAACCATTGTATTAACCTACTAGTGTTTCAACCATTAAAGTCATAATATCTGTTGTTTGCTTGCTATTTCTTAATTTCAATAGTTTATATTTATTGGCGATATTGTGGCAATATCAACAGTCATTAGAACTCACGATAAGCAGTCAGTCCTGTTCTACAGTATGGCTTTTCTGACATCACTAGAACCCTATAAATCACTCAGGAGATTATTTTGTGTGATAGCATTAATTTTGACTTTCTATTTTTCTGGGGACTGAAATAGAAAGAAAAAAAAAAGCTTAGTAGTGCCTTGAGGATGAGTCTTCATAAAAGGAACTTGGACTGGAATCAGGGTCCCTCAGTTTCAGATCAGGTTACCAAACATTTGAAAGGACAAAATCACATCTTTTATTTAATATTATGAAGTGACTTGTGATAATGTATTTTCCGATTTTCGTCTTGTTCATGGCACAAAATTAAATTTTGTTTAAACACAAAACTTCTCTTTATTTATCTTTAGAGATGTAAGGACCTCGTGGCTGAACCTTAGACACTTGTAGAATTCACTTCTCTTGGATTTAGTTCTGATTTTAATGCTTTGCTTTTGCTTTTTCTAAAAAGGAATTTCTCGTATGAAGAATTGTACATCTCACTAGTGGAGGGATGGGTGTTGGAACGCTGTATGACTGAAACCTAATCATGAACAGCTTTGTAAGGGTCTTTCTCTCAATGATTCAATTAAAAAAATTTAAAATATAAAAAATTAAAAACATAAATAAAAAATAAAATAAAATAAGAGTGATATATTTTAAACTTCATGTTCCCACATTGCTGGCAAACTATGTTTGGGGCATGTCTCCTTTTATGCACTGGGATAATACAAAATACAAGAGTGTGGTACCAGAGCTCACCAGTAAGTTTTGGATTGGGCTACTGCAGGTAACTGCAGATCGAAGGAAGCATTAGAAGGAAGGAGAGTTAACCAGGTTTGGTCTTATTCTCCCTAGAAGCTACCTCAAGATTTTGTTTAAAAAAATGTAGATTTTTATCTACAGTTAGATTTTATTTAAAACCATAGATTTTATCACGAAGATTAAGTTTTTGTTTCAGGTGGTCTAATGATAAAAATAGTATTTCCCTTTAATTTCAAGGTTCCCCAAATATTCTCCACTCAACACATTTGAATATTCGACAAGGACTTACTTGTAGTGCATTTCATTTTGGTCCAAGGCTTTCAGGATGGATTGAGATTCCTTTTCACCAACTTGAAAATCAACCGTCATGTTTGTCGTTATGTAGTATGCAGTGTCTGGGTACCAGAAATCAAGCTGTGGGGATGAAGTCAGTGTTAGCAAAGGGGGCTTATTTGCTCACCTACCACGTTTTTATTAAGAAGTGCAAAATGGGCACTGGTGGAGGGATGGGTATTTGATCATTGTATAATTGAAATCCAAGCACAAAAATTTGTAAGTCTACAACTGTACCTCAGGGTGTTTCACTAATAATATATATATATATATATATATATATATATAAAGAAGTAAGGCAGACATCCTGAAAGAAATTTGGAGCTCAACACAACTGAAGTATAGACTATTTTTGTAAATTTATGGTATTTTTGCAGAATATGAAATAACTGTTTACTATTAAGGAATGGAAAGAAATCATTTCCACTGATGATTGTTTTTTCCAAGTATCCCTGATTTTTGAAAGTTTGCTGTATACCACCCCATTTCTTTTCTTTCTGTCTTTCTTTTTTCTTCCTTTTTTTAAAACAAAAGTCCTATTTTAGTACTTATTTTTTCCCAACTAAATAGATCTGAAGAAGATTTTTGCTTTATGACAGAAGTGGCAACTGCTTTCAGCATTAGCTCCATGAAAGCACATCTAGAGGTAGTTGATATCCCCAAATATTAGTGGGGCCCAGAAAACTCTTTGCCTGGAATTACTGTTCTCGTATCAGTTCTGCTTTTAATGTGAATGAAATGTTTCTATATTATTTGATATTATTTGGTAGATTATATTTCTGATTTTAGAATATGAATTTTTTGTTTTTGTAGAAAGAAATGCTAATTGCTTCTTCATTTTTCACTATTTTGACTTGTGAAAGATTTTAAGTGAATTCTCTACTTTCATATAGTAGAGAGGGAAATCCATGTCTGCAAAAATCCAAAGGAGTGGACAAAAAGTTTTGGTTCATCTCTATGCTTCTACCATTTGGGGACTGAGTTGAGCTGTTTTATAGTTGGTTTCGTCACAACATCTGTCTCTAGTTGGGAATATAGATTAAATATATGGCCCTTTCCCCAATCAGACCTCAAAACAGATGCCCCTATAAACTGTGAAATTACTGGAAGTCTTGATTCCAACAGAAAGTTGGATCTTTAACCATTTTTCTTGTAACACATCTTAGGGCAGCTGACTTCTGAGTTTCAGACTCAACCCTTGAAAGAGGATTAAGGGACAGAGAGATGGTATATGACTTAATGTGCATGTCTTACATGTGCTCAACCCTGGTTTTATCCTCAGCATGACAGTCTGCCCTCTCCAACCCCCCTACATTGTGGGTACAGCCCTGGAGACCTCAGAGTCCCTGAGATGGCACCAGCCTGAGCAGCACGACATCTTTGGGCCCTTGCATTGAACCACTCTCTCAGAGACCGAGAATCCCCAGGAGGAAATTCCAAATTCCAGGCCTCCTGAGCACCACTGTGAAATGAGGTGAAGCCTGGAACATGCAGACATTTAACAACTGTCTATTCATTCTCTTTATTTTCCTAGCTGGGAATTTCAGAAATTTGGCACTTAAGCCCAGGAGGATAGCACTACGATAAAATAACTAGAGAAGATTCCAATTCTTGTAGGTCTTCAGAACTGCACTGCATTGGGAAATCAAATGAAATATGATTCACCAGCTTAGGAGATGTGAAGGAAAGGTTCCATTTATATTAATTACTTGACACTGTAGGCATATCCTGGTCTGCCTGACTATTTCATAGTTGAACTCCATACTAAACCAGACAATTATGTGGGAATGCATGACTTCTGTGATCCAACCAGTATTTATTGGTGTATTTTGATCAAAAATCCATGCTAGCATATGGAGAATGCAACATGATTGAACTAGGTAGGGTCATGTCACTACAATAGGACTTGATCTGCTCTAACAGGGTAATGTGAAACAAGAGTTTAGACTCAGAGAACTTTCATGAGCTTTCACTAGACAACTGGTACAAGCTGGATGCAATGGTTATAAGATTTAGCATAGAACTTAAGAGGAGAAAAAGGTTAGTGAGAGAGAGAGAGAGAGAGAGAGAGAGAGAGAGAGAGAGAGAGAGAGAGAGTCATTTATTTCCTACATTCTCATCAATGCCAGGCATGGTCACAAGAATAATTTTTTTCTTCTTCTTTTTTATTTTATTATTTTTGGCCCATACACAGATTTGGCAGTATCTTTTTTTATTTTTGCTTTTTGGGTCACACCCAGCGATGCTCAAGGGTTATTCCTGACTCACACACTCAGGAATTACTCCTGGCTATGCTTGGAAAGAGTTAGTACTTGAAGAGTTAGTACGAGTTGAAAGTAATGAAGGAAACACGTTTCTCATGGGAAAAGGTGCTTCGTGATGAATTTTGATGTCCATGAAGTTTGATAAGAAAGAGGATGGCAGGTAGGAGATGACAGAGACTGTCTGTCTGGGAGACACCAACCGCAACAGAAAATGGTTTTATAATGCTCAGAATGGCCACACCCATTTCTGAGATGGATCTAAACATCTTTTCAATAGCTCTAACATAGTCTTTACAATAATCACAGAGAGTTGATATGAGTATTAGTCCTGTTTGGTAGAGGGGGAAATTTAGAACAAGAATAAGTCACTTGCCTAAGAGCACTGAACTGAGATTTGGACCTCTGAAGACTGTTTCCATTGTAGAGTGCTTTTTAAAACCATACAAGCCTTCAAAAATGAGGAACGTAAACACTTAGACTCACAGAGCAGAAGTAACAGAGGTGAGGAAGGAAGGGTAAAGAGGATCCAATGGAGTTGGTAGAAGGTTACTGGTACTTTGCTGGTAGGCATGGTGTAGTACCATTTACCCCTGGAACATACACACCTTGACAGTTTACTAAATTAGTGTGACCTCTGTGAAAAACAAAGCAGAAATGCCATAAGTGATACCACTCAGGCATATATTTAAAGGATAAGACAATACTAATTTGAAAGAATATTTGCACCTCTAAGCTCATAGCAGCATTATTCACAGTTAGCCCAAACACAGTTACAACCTAAATACCATCAACAAATGAACAAAAATGCTGTGGTACATATTCTCAATGGAATACTATTGTGCTGTTCAAAAAGATGAACTCATGCCTTTGGGGATAAAATACCAAGGGCCTTAGGGGTTGATGTTAAGTGAAATAAGGAGGTACAAAATGGTTTCACTCATTTCAGAAAGATAACACAAATGGCCTGGCCCCAAACACGAAACTTGGTGCAAACTAAGGTCAGAGGGAAACTGGTGGGGGGAATGGGAAGAAAGCTCTTTCTGGTGTTGGCAAGGCGTTGGAAACGTGGTGATGTATTCCGGTGAAAAGCTGTTTGGGAGCCTATGCTAGTTAATACTAGCAGAGTTCTTGTCCTGGGGACGTGTTGTCTAAAGGCTGGTTTATTAGAGACCATTGTCTGGAGGTTATGCAATCTAAGGGCTGACTTTCTTGTTTTTCTCGATGGCTCTTTCCTAGTTCTTATGGCAGAACATGTTGCTAAGGTATATCAATATATAACCAAGGCAAATATTGAAACTATGTAATTATAGAAAAGCGTCATTGACGTCTGGAAGCCCAGTACATTCTAAACTTATGTATCCTGAACATTCTTGTATATTTTTCCAATGTATGTTTCCTTCTAGAGACCTATAAAAGTCGGTTGCTTGTTCAATAAAGATGCTGCACAAACACTGCTTGTCTGGCCTCCTTACTCCGTTGCCAGAAGGGAGACTTAGTTACTCCCTTAGCCTCGGGGACCCTGGTCAACTTAGCTGTGTGGGATGCGGCATAAAGCTACACTTCTGAAATGTTGTGATATTGGCAAGCAATGATAAAGCCACTCAAAGTTATAATAGCAAAAACAACAGAACAAAGCCAACACCAAGCTTCGAATGGGAGGTGGTGACCATCAGGTATCAGAGAGACAGTTCAGGTTGCAGTGCAGCTGTGGCTTTGTGGGAGGCAGAGCTTGAACCCTGCACCCCAGTGCAGGGCTGTTGAGGTTGCCCTGCTCTGCAGGAGTCTGGACATGACTTGCCAGTGGCAAGTGGCAGAGCAGAGAACCAAGTACCAGTTAGAAATACTCAGTGCTTTGCATTGTTCTGATGTAGAGACGAGGGGGTCTGTGACTAGAATAAGTCCCAGGTTTGGTTGTGGGGTTTAAATCTGACGTCCTCCTGGTCACAGAACATTGATTCTCTTGGGACCTGAGTTCTGTTCCTGGCACGTTCACGATGACACTGACAATGTGTCAGGCAGTTTGAAGGGATGTATGTAGGAGGCAGCCACAGTGCAGTGTCTGAGGAGTCGCCTGAGAGACCTGTGAGTTTCCAAGACAGATCTAACGTGACAGGCCCTTATCTCACAATTTCACTTAAAGCTATGGCCTGCAAAGCTTTGTTTGTTTTTGGACCACACCCAGTGGTGCTCAGGGATCATTCCTGGCAGGCTCAGGGAACCATTTGGGGGTGTCTGGAATTGAACTGAATTGTGTTGAATTGTGAGTCAGCTGCATGCAAGGCAAGTGCCCTAACTGCTGGACTATTGCTCCAGACCCAGCCTGCAAAGCTTCGGGGAGGTAAAAATAGAAGGTAAATTTGTGGGCGAAATAACCACACGAGTGAATTACCCAAATAGCTCCTGTCACTTGCTCTGGGCTCTGTCTTTGTGCAGGGCACATTGAATCAGAGAGAAAAGCATCTGCAGGCAGGAAGGACACACACACACACACAATCACAAATGGTCCATTAAAGGCTTTACCTGGTAGGTTCGGGCCAAGTCCTTTAGGAGGTTTGCTTGCTTCTCATCCTGGGGATTCGCCCGGAGTACTTTGTCCCTGTAAGAAAGCAAAAGAGGGGCTGGAGCGATAGTACAGCAGGTAGGGTGTTTGCCTTGCATGTGACCAACCTGGGTTTGATTCCCAGCATTCCATATAGTCTCCTGAGCAAGCACCAGGAGTAATTCCTGAGTACAGAACCAGGAGTAACCCCCAAAATGCAAAGAAGAAGAAGAAGAAGAAGAAAGCAAAAGAGTCAACAGGACCACCAGGAAGGGCATTGGGTCCTCTTCCCTTGCAGATGGGAATCCGGGCATGGAATTGTACCTTTCGTAGCGGACGGGGGTGATGCCCTGGGTGGTAGCGAGCAGAACTGCAGGCAGGATGAACCACATGGTTCCTTGGACTGACCCTACGCTCAGTGCCCTTTATGCCTCAGCCCTGTCTGGCCCTATGTCCTGCGCCTTTTTATGACTCAGCTCTTATCTGGGGGAGCAGCTGATTTCCTCTTGGGGTTCTGCTGGACCAAATGTCCCCTCCTTGTATTTCCTAGTTGGAAATGGTGGAACCCAGTGGCAGCTCTGATACCAGCTGCTCATTTGGTGGCTACCCCAAAGTCGTGTGACTGTGATGCCTTCAAAGACAGTTGGAACCTCTTATTGTACAAATACAGGAAGGAGAGGGCAGTGCAAATAATGTCCCCACGGTGCAGAGAGGTATGTTTACCAAGTTGAGACGTGAGCTACCTCTCCGGTGGAATCGAGTGAGAGGAGCAATCAACTTAAATTTACACTCTCGGGCTGAAAGGACTTTGGATCAAGGGTGAATGATTTTTAATTGCATAAACTATACTTTTGAAGCTGCAGGGGAATCGTTAAAAACATTGAAACCACAAACATATTTTTAACGCATTAAAAACGCTACGATCTGGAAAACAGATGTGTTCACCATCTCAATTCTAGGACACCAAGTCCCTAACATTTGCTCTGTGCTTTTTTGTGAAGAGTTGAATGCACAGAAAGAGTCAAAGCATCTGCAAAGCGGCTGTCTTCCCTCTGCCATCTTTGGTTCACGGAAAATAAAACTTTTTTTTTCTAAAGCAACCAGGAATCTTGTACGGTGTAAGAGCTAACCCTGGTGTTGCAAATTTTCACCTAACACCACTTAGATTTTATAAAAACTTACCATTCGTTGTTTTCTCAAGCCAAAAGAAAGCCCAAGAGCACTTTTGCTTTTTCAAGGCAAGAAGTGACAGTAGCACTCAGTGTTAGTTTTGCAACAGCTGTTCTAGAAGAGTACTTAAACGTTGCTGTTATTACTATCTTCTCAGGAAACCATGTCTGATGGCGCTGGGGATCAAACCCAGGACCTCACACGTGCAAGACCTGTGATCTCCCCCAGAGCCGCATTTGCACCCGCACAGCCACTGTTCTTAGTGGCAGCTGCACTTCAAACTCCGAGCAGCAAGAGTCTTACAAAGCTCTTTCCCAGGAAACTGCTTTATGCCAGTGAGCTCGTTACCAAATCCCCACTCTTTCTAGATGGGAGTATTATTTTATGTGTTATCTGTGATGGTTTGTTAGGCTCTGTTTATGGTATGGAAATGTTTTTGCCTATATAAATTCGTAGGGTAACGAATTCTTCACTTTACTGCCATCTCAGCTTGTGAAAGGTTTCGTTGGATCACCTTACTTTTGGATAATGGGGACCCTGAAATTCGGTTGTTCAAATATTCAGTCATCAGCTTCTGCCTTCAGGGTCTGGATGACTGTAGACACCCTAGAATGCTTTTTTGAAAACAGAATCAGTGAAAATAACTTATAGACCACTGGAAACAGTTTCTGGGTAGGTCTTTGGCTAATAATGTGTTATCTGAGGAAAGGCAATGCCTTCATCCTGAATCATAGGTAATTCAGCCAGTGAATTTTATTTATTTTGGGTCTCTAATACAGTACTTAGGGGGTCCCCATGAGTCACTCTGTGGGATTCTTAACCAACTAGGATGGCAGTGAATGTGAGAGCTCGAGCATATGGTGCCAGTGAGGCTCAGGAAGCTGTATGGTACCAGGGATCGGACCTGGGTTGGACATATACTCGGTACATAAGCCTATAAAACCTGTATTACGTTCTCAACCATTCATATTTTTTCTTAAGTTTTGAGTCACTCCAAGCAGTGCTCCAGGATTACTCCTGGTGGTGCTCAGGGGAACCATCTATGGTGCCAAGAATCAACCACGTGCAAAGCAAGGCCTTATCCCTCTATACTATCTCTCTGGGATGTGAAAGGCTTATTTTAACTTATTTTTTTTGGACTACACCCAGTGATGCGCAGGAACTACTCCTGACTCTGTACTCAGAGAGCACTCCTGGCAGTGCTCGAAGGACCGTATGGGATGCCAGGGATCAAACCCAGGTTGATCTCATGCAAGGCAGACATTCTACTCCCTGAACTATCACCCGGGCTCCTACTTTCTTATCACTATATCATCATCATTATTATTGTTGTGGTGGTGGTGGTAACATTGGTTTACATCATAGTATTTTTCACCCTGTCACTCTTTTGCAAAGTAACTTGTCATGTTAACCCCTCCACCACATTGCTGGAATTCCTTCACTACTGTCTGTCGGATCCCTCCTTACTTTCTGCCTCCTGTGGCAGTCTGCATTCTGTGGTCTGAATCCAAGGGGCAGTTTTGGTTTAATTCCGCGTCTCTTTACTTTCTTTGTTTCTTCCTGACCTGCATATGAACAAGAGTGCCAATTGTTTTTCTTTCTTCTTTCCGATTTATTTGCTTATTTTGAGCTAATTGGTCTCATTTTAGCTTATCAGTTCAACGGACACCGTCCAATGAAGTTCCATTTAAAAACAACCTCTCCACATGGGCAAGCCTGAGATGACCGTATGCAAGACACTGGGCATCATGGTTTCATGGGTTAGATATCAAAAGGGGGTGTCTTTGGGGAGAGGCACTGTCTCCCGTGAAACCTCCCACCTCTCCATTTGATTGGTCTGCGGTGTAACGCCAGCGTTTTCGTTGTTTCCCCTACAGGGCTGTCTTTCCTCAACCCCACAGACAAGGGAAAGGAGACTCGTGGAAATGCCTTCATGTTCTTGACACGGAACAGACTCATCAGCACTGGAGACCCCTAAAGCTCCTGGCTTCAAAGGAGCATTTGGCAGGGCTGAGGGGAAAAGCAAGCGTTTGATTTTACTTTAGACAGGCATAAACTTAAGAACAGCCTCTTAATACTAGGCCCTTTACCCCCAGCAGGCTGCCTTTTCACTTTGACATTGGTTTGCTCATGTGTGAAACAGACATGCCAAGAGAGTGTGGCATCAAGGGCTAAATGAGATGCCATATGTAGGGACTACAGGTAGACGGAAGCCACTCAGAGCATCAGGGTAAGGCTCTGCAGACTGGCATTCTATTGGCTGTGTCAGAATTGAGTGCCAGCATGGATCCTGTGTTTGATAAGTTCTACTGGACATTTAGGCGTGTAGCATCTCTGTCTTGATTTTCCTGGGGTCTACCTCATGAGCACAATTTCATGTGTTGCTTTTATTTTCAGGTTGTATAAGTAATAAATGACCACTGAAAACAATTCAACAAAGACTGAAAATGGAGAAAAAATTACATATTGCCATCAGTCTATTGCTCTGCTAAAGATTTTTTGGAAGTCTTTTTCTATGTGATGAGTTTCAGAGCTATGTGAGGCAGTTTCTAGTCGGGGGGCGGGGCGGGTTGGGGGAGAATCTGAATAAATGCTTGCTGGATTCTGCTGTCTTTCAGGGGCAGGTGCAGATGGGAAATGCATCTTTGACTTTATAATATCTGTTGCTTATTGACAGTTCGCTATTTCTGGATCGGGATATAGACATGCGATGCTTTTAAAGGCATCTTAGGACTTTCCTCCCCTCTCCAATTATTTAGCCTCTGAGGAACAGCACAATAGATGCATTTCAAGAATATTCTGGAGCTTTTTCTCAGAACTGATGTCTTGGCAGGCAGACCTCACTACAACCATATATTACTGCATCAAGATTTAGAAAAGGTCTTGGCATGTATAGCGTAGGCTGAATCGTTGTTGGACACCATATCATTTTAGGATCGACTATTTAAGATGTTTCATGGTTTAAATTAATCTCTTTAGAAGGAGATTTAAAGTTGACTGCTTCCCCTGGCAATAATTTTCCATCATTCTGGATGCTTGCACTTCTGGGATTTCTTGTGGTACTGTGTGTCTAATCTCGGTTTAAAACGCCGCTTTATTGTCAAAGCCGTGTTTTCCTGCATGTTTTTCAAACATTGGTAGTATAAAGGAAATGCCCTAGAAAATGGAAGCAAATGTTCTCTTTCAATTTTCTAGCACTGTTCCAGTAATTTTCTGTATTCAAATTCAATCTGTTCAATGTCTAGAATAGCTTGGGGTTTTCATAAGGGCTTGGCTGAAAGCAGAATCCCTTGCTTCTAGTCGTGAATGTTGGAGTTGTTTGTAGAGGTTGTATCAGAACCATACTGCAAAATACTGCAGACACACCTGTTTCCAGGCATTGCAATCAGGTGGTTATTTTGGGACAGAAATGTGTGTGTGTGTGTGTGTGTGTGTGTGTGTGCGTGTGCGTGTGTGTGCATGTGTGTGTGAGTGAGTGATCCAGACCTGGCTAGGAGGAGAATGACACCCTCCCTGACCTGGAGGGTGAAAGAGACTCACCAAAACTCCATCAGGTGCCCAAATCACCTCACCAACTTCAACCTCAACCTCCTCTGCCTTTTCTGCCTGAAATTTTCTCTTGTGCCAGTTCATATAGGTCAGTTGGTCCAGCAGGTGATAATAAAGCATGCGACTCTACGTATGCAGAACCTCGGTAATAAAGATGGGAAACCCAGTCTTGCCCTCTGGATGCCTTTTGGGAAAGGGAAGTTTTTATGGCATTGGCCAGCTGCTGGGTTGGGGAGTTGAGAGCTGAAGCCTGAAAGAGAGAATCAGACTCAGCCCGACCAGTGCACCAAGAAGAGAGGGAAGGTTTTCTCTCAGCTCCACTGGCCAGGAGGGCAGAGACCCTCAGCCACATCTGCATGACCAGCTAGAGCTCACATGGTTTGCTCTGCTTTTACTCCAGGCAATTAGCTCTCGTGGAGTGTGAACTGTCTCCCCCCCCCCCCCCAGAAAAAACCTCATTTATTTCTTGCCAGACATTGTTCCAGTTGCTCTATACATATTATTTCATATAACCCTTACAAATCCACTGTAAGCAATTCTTATATCGGCATTATAGATGAGGCAATATGGACTTATGTAAGTCAAGTAATATGCACAGATTCAGTCAACAAATGAATAGAGGAATTGAAATTTGAATAGAGCTTACCAATTCAGGTACAAACATTGGATCAGTGTGAGTGTGAACTATTGCCTTTGCATCTGCAGAGGAAGTAGCAGAAATGTTTGTGCTGTAGAGAATTATGGTGACAGAAGATTTTACAGGAGAAAATTTTTCATACACTTTCTCATTCCTCTGCTTCATAAAAGGATCGTGGTCGTTTAGAAAAAGACCGCATATATTTCAAAGTTTGACTTTAAAACACCCAGTTTATGAAAAAGAAGCTTCCTTATTGCTTGGCCAGATACCTCGAGTCTCAAGGAATCTTATTAGTTCAAGGCCAGGTCACTTTTCAGAGGTGAGTCAAGTTGTGTGCCGAGGAGGTATCGGGAATTGAATGATAAACCTGAAGCATGATACCCACTCAGATAAGCACACCGGAGTGCCTGCTCCATTTCACAATGTGGATATAACTTAAATAAAACGGGGCGATATTCTCTGCCTGCTTAAATGATGTATTAAATTATTTTGATGATTGCTTGACAAAGTGTAGCGGCAACACTACCGCCATCTACTGGTCAATTAATGCAATTCGTCAACTTTTTTTTTTTTTCGTTTGCATTTAATTTATTTTCCTGATAAAACCCTTTGACCTGGAATGGACCATAGAGTTGTTTCTGGTCAACTCTATCTTGGTGAATGTCTTACTCGTTTTTTAAAAAAATTATTATTAGTGAAAACCATGAGGTACAGTTGTAGACTTACAAACTTTTGTGCTTGGGTTTCAGTTATACAATGATGGAGTACCCATCCCTTCACCAGTGCCCATTCTCCACCACCACTAATCCCAGTATCCTTCCCGGTCCCCATCCCCCCATCCCACCCTGCCTCTGTGGCAGGGCATTCCCTTTTGTTCTCTCTCTCCTTTTGGGTTCTGTGGTTTGCAAAAGAGGCATTGAGTGGCAATCATGTTCGGTCTAGAGTCTGCTTTCAGCATGCGTCTCCCATCCTGGGCGGATCTTCCTAACACCCTTTATTTGGTGCTCCCTTCTCTATCTGAGCTGCCTTTACCCCTCGCATGTGCGGCTGGCCTCCAAGCCATGGAGTAAACCTCCTGGTACTTATCTCGGCTATTCTTGGGTGTTAGTCTCCTATTTTGTTACTTATGTTCCCCAGATGAAAGCAGTCTTTCTATGTCTGTCCCTTTCTTTCTGACTCATTTCATTTAGCATGCAAGTGAACCTTTCATCAACCTTTAATGTCAGAACTATGGTGATTTCAGAGGATTCTGGTCTTGGACTAGTATAGGCATTTCAATATATTATTTTAGCTACAAGTTTATTCAGGTCTATTTTCCTTGAATTCACATAAAATCAATGAAATAATATTTTGTATGATTGGAAAGAAATGTTTCTCCTATGTAACCTTGATCATATAATTTTGAAGTTTTAATTCTATATTGTATTTGCATATCTCTATCATTTGAGTGAAGCGTGATACTCCAAGCATAGCTCTTTCGATTCCTCTTTGAGAGACCTGAATAGCTTTCTCATCCTATTTTCATAGGGCCCAGGTCTCTGAGGTGTATGTTAATGCAGGAAGAACAGTGGAATCGAAGAGATGTGCCCAGAGCTGTAGGTTCTTCATCCTCTTAGCTATTTCTTCGACGCTCTTGAAGGCGTTCCAAGCCACTCTCTTCCTCCTGCGCAACTCAGGTGCCAGGTCATTCATCATGTTGATGGAGTTCCGACCTCCATCAATGCTTAAGAATCAGGGATGCTGTCTCGTTTGCCAAGACATCAAAAATCAGATGGGCTGGACACCGTAATGAGATTTGGAGACGACTGCTGGACTAGAGCCATTACCGACTGGATTCCATGGGACGTCAAAAGATCGCGTGGCTGCCCACCTATGAGCTGGTCAGACGTCATCATCAAGACCCTGAACGATTGGTTTGAGGCTCTTTGTGTTCCTAGAACAAGCAGAAGCCTTTGGGCGACACTAGCACACGACGGGGACGGTGCCCGCTTGAGCAAATCGATGAATAACGGGATATCAAGTGATTAAGTGATTTGCATATTACTGTATTTTAGGATGTCAATCCCCTCCAACCTTAGCAGATCCAGTTATAATTATGATGTGTGATGAACAATGCGTGAACTGATATTTTGCCTTCCTTCATTCTCCTTTGAAACAAACTCCCTCTTGTTTTATTTCCAGCATGTCTGATTACCCTGACTGGTGTTTTAAAAACACCACGTTGCAGGTTAATGCCTTCAGGGTGACTTCCTGTTGTTCTTCCATTCAAGCTCTAAACCCTTCACGGGACTTCTGAGTTTCGTCTGAGGCAAGGTCCCCTCTCTCCTGTGTCACTGCCTTTCAAAATCCTGAATTCCTCAGTGATAGCATGTTTGCCTTGCGCGCGGCCCGGCCCGGCTGAGCCAGGTTGGATTCCTCTGCCCCTCTTGGAGAGCCTGGCAAGCTACCAAGAGTATCTCACCCGCACAGCAAAGCCTGGCAAGCTACCCACGACATATTCAATATGCCAAACACAGTAAAAACAAGTCTCACAATGGAGACATTAGGGACCCGCTCGAGCAAATCAGTGAACAACAGGAGGACAGTGCTACAGTGCTCGTTCAATAGCACGGAGCCTCAGTCCAGCCCCCTGGGAATCTTTTTTTTTTGAGAGGGCGTGGCTTGGGACGACTCATACTTTAGGATTTTCCAGGAGAGAAAGCTTGGAGCGGGGAAGGAAGCCTGTCTGAGGTGATTTTCCTGTGGTCTGTCTAGAACTTGTTGTGCTTATGTAAATGCAAACACCTGTTTGAATTATTAGTGAAAAAAGGGTGTGCTTTGGGTTCGCCTTCCCCAATGGCCCAAGGAGCCTTTAGGCTAGAAACAGTCTCTTGCTTTGTCCTCTTCCTCCCCTCAACTGTTTATCTCAGTACTTGGCACTGGGTGAGTCAGAAGCAAAGAAACTTGGTCGTGTTTAGGTGAAATAAAGCCAAGATGCTTTTTCTCCCCATGTTTGACAACCCGCAATTTGCCCTTCCGAGTGCTTCCTTTTCACAACACTGTGCTCCATGAGAAATGAGAATCTCTGCATCCTGCCAGCTTGAGCCATCCTCTCCCTGGCCCTCCACCCCTTCTTCCTGCCAGGGGACTCAAACTTCTATGACCGAGGCACATCGTGTCAAGGGAACAGACATCAAACGGGCTTTTCAATGGTAATGATTCACCTTTATTATGGCCCAGATACAGTCAATGATCCAGTAGTTTACCAGGGGAATTGGGATCTGGGGAGCATCCAGGCACGCTGAAACAAGCAGAGAAACAGCGCACTGCCTCTCTGGTCTCTGCTCTAGTAGAGGTGTTCCAGGACGTAGCCGGCGATGTGCTTCACGGCCAGCATGGTCTCCTCACAGGTTGCCTGGATCTGGCTTTCGGGGAGGGCAAAGCCATATCTGCCCTTATCTCTGAGCTCAAAGGTGAAGGAATATTTGATTCCCTGGTCATAAGCCCAGTCGTCGGAGCCGCCAGCAGCAGGATCTGAAAATGAGCAAAGAGCAGAAAAAAGATCTTCCTATCAAGGAAAGAGAGTTTGAAGTTCAAAAAGCCAGTTTTCTTTTTATACTGACCCAGGGATTCCAGGGGTCGGGGACTGGGCAACTTCTACTGGAGGGAATTCCACCAGATGCTAGGCAGGTAGCTCAGTTCTGGGGGAGTGATGCCTTTCATATCCAAAGGAGAAGGTGATTTGTTATGTGATGTTTTCCCTGAGTTTGTGAGGGAGGCATCACTTTATTGTCTCATATGTAATTTGTTTACCAAACATGAGCCATTTGGAGGCAGACAATAAAGAAAACGGCAGGATAATTGGAGAAAGACAGACATCCAACCCTGCCCCGCTGAGCAAGATGAACTGGGGGCAGTTGAGGGTGGAACTGGCCTTAGCTTTTGTTCCTGGAATCTACCCTAGGTCAGGCATTTATTGTTGTTCACGTAATGGCAGTTATGATGTTGCTGTTGCCTGCCTTCCTTTCTTTCTTCCTTCCTTCCTTCCTTCCTTCCTTCCTTCCTTCCTTCCTTCCTTCCTTCCTTCATATGTTCATCCATTCATTCATTCTTTTAAACCACCTCTCACTTTTCTCTTTCTCTCTGTGACTTCTTAGCAGGTCCCCCATTCCCTTCCCTTCTCTTGGGCTTCTCTCCATCCTTTCTCCCCAGTGAGACTGACACACTGGGGGTATCTGAGTGGGGACATCTTATGGACTTCCTAGGTTTTGTTTGTTTGTTTTTGAGTTTTTTGAACAGAAAACTGATGATAATTTTGTCACCCATCCACTGCCCAGGATTGGAGAGAAAGGGCCTTGGGGAGCCAGGTTGCTGTGGAGGCGGGAGGGTCATGGCACCTTCCCGAAGCCAAGACTCACAGATGGTTGTGGCTCCTGGTCCGTAGGTGTATCTGGTGCCGTGCAGAGTGGCCAGCTCCTTCACGGTGGCCTTAGCCAGGGCATTCTGCAAGAGACCAGAGGTGTGTGGATGAGTCAGTCTTGGTGCCCACCCATGGACCCGCACCGACCATTATAGGTAAGACAGGGAGGACAAGCATGTGCCCATTAGGGTCTGCAATTCTGAGTGCTCCAGGGCTGCTCACATTCTCGCCCACCGAGTCACAGAGACTGAGGGATTCATGGAAAAGATCATGTCTCTGAAGATCTCCCCAAAGCCTCCACGTGTCCCCTTTCACCCATAGACTGTCATGGTGTTAATGCAATTTTCTGGTCTCTGGGTCCCTGGTGACCTTCTCCCCATCTTCTCAAGTAATTGTCCCAGGACCCTGTCCAGGAATGACTCCTTGGGGGTATCCCAGCAATGTATGTTTGAACCATGAGAGTTATGAAGACTCTGCACCAAGAATTTGAGAATTAGCTTCTACCTCTTATTTTGCCTTGGTCCTGGTGTTAAGTTGTATTTTAGTCAAAGGACTATCTTTTACTTCTTTTTTTAAGTTATGTTTTAAAATCTCCATAAAACTATTTGTTTTCAAAGTCGTAATATACATTGATTTGAACCTTAATTCAGGCCACAGAAACAAGGCCAGAACTCTCTCTCATTGTCCCAAATCCCACGCATTGCCACAGCGAAATGTGACTGTGGATGAAGAACTAGGTTATGTCTCTGACTGAGCTTGGCAAATCTCTTTTGCCTCTGCAGCTTGTAAGAGGAAGACAGGAGGCAGAGAGGTATATAGGGTGGTGTCAACACGATCTGTCAAGTAAAAATCAACTGCATGCAAAATAACCTCAAGCAAAACAGAGCAGAACTCTCAAAACACGGCCAGTTCTGATGCCAGAATGAGCCCTGACAGCGCCTGTGTGAACTGAACGCTGGACACACCGCATGTGACCATGTGCACAGCCCACACCATAGCTGAGAAATACTGGAAAACCCACAGTTTCATAAGACTGGCTAGTCCGGCTTGGAAGGATTCTAGACTAAAAAGCCAGAGAACACTGGTTTTATTTCAGAGTACCGAGTAACAAAGACATAACAGGTACTAATTTATCTGTGTTCCTTTCTTACACATTGCATCACACCATCCCCTCCTACCCTCCTATTTTGCCAGCTCCCAAGGAGAAGGCTTGGTCCGTAACTCTTTCTTGCCTATAAGCTCCTCAACCCCTCTGACATGCTGCCTTTTACACACGGACCACCTGAAAAGCAAGCTTGACTCTGGCGAATAAAAATCTGAACATCATATTGTTTAACATAGGAGAATGAGCCATATTCAACCTGGTTATGAAACTGACTACATTTCATACTCTGGATCATAAATGTGTCTTGCACATATGACTGAAAAGTGTAAAAACTGTGAGCAAATCAGCATAATCCATATATTTTTTTTAGTTTTGGGGTCACACCCGGTGGGGCTCAGAGGTTTGTGCTCAGGGAACTCTATGTAAGGGTAGGCCTCCAACCTGGGTCAACAGCATGCCTGGCCAGCACTTCCACTTCTCTCCTATCTCTCTGACCCTGGTTTCTCACTCAAAATTTTTATAGTTATAGTAGTGTGTCCACAGTGGCGTTGATGTTTATGGCATTGTTGTACACAGTTATTTCACTTTACCGTCACCAAAGTGCCCAAGACCCCTGACCCATGGCCCCGTGTCATCCCCACCATGTCCCGGAATTATCAATTTGTACTCCAGTACTGAGAGTCTGTTATTGATTGATATTATCTATGTCTTGTTTTGTGTCCCTACAGATAAGTGGCTGGAGCGATAGCACAGCGGGTAGGGCATCTGCCTTGCACGCAGCCAACATGGCCGACCCGAGTTCGATTCCTCCGCCCCTCTCGGAGAGCCCGGCAAGCGACCGAGAGTATTCGATATGCCAGACACAGTAACAACAAAGTCTCCAATGGAGACGTTACTGGGCCCGCTCGAGCAAAATCGATGATCAACGGGAGGGCCTTTACCTTAGGGCTGGAGCGATAGCACAGCGGGGAGGGCGTTCGCCTTACAAGCGGCCAACATGGCCGACCCAAGTTCGATTCCTCCGCCCCTCTCGGAGAGCCCGGCAAGCTACCGAGAGTATTCGATATGCCAGACACAGTAACAACAAAATCTCCAATGGAGACGTTACTGGGCCCGCTCGAGCAAATCGACGATCAACGGGAGGGCCTTTACCTTTACCTTTTACAGATAAGTGAGATCATCTTGTGATTGTCCTTTTCCCGCTGGCTTAACAAACTAAGAAGAGAGAGAACTTTATCGCTACTCAGAGATTCCACTTCTGGATATCTACTCCTGAAACAGAAAAACACTAACCCAGGAAGACAAATCCACTCCACTGTAGCTCTCAGTACCGTGGACAAAATATGGCACCAGCACACGTGTCCAAAAACAGATGAGTGGGTAAAGAAGTTGTGGTATCTACATGCAACGAAGAGTTACGCAGCAGGGAATGAATAAAATCATGCAGTTGCTGCAATTTGATTCATTCTGTTTGAAACAAAATAGCAACTTCCCTGACTTCCTGTTCAGATATTAATAATAATGGAGTGGACTCTAATGTTCAGTAGACACAGGCATGATGGTAAGACTTGAAGGACTACAACTCCTGAAGAGCTGTACCTGGTCATTAAGTACCTCGTCAGTTGGAAAACTTGCAAAGAATCATGAAAATTAGAATAGGATTTTCTGCAATAGCCTATGAAGATGATGCAGCACTTTACTGGAACTTATTGACAAGAACAGAAAAAATGAAGATTTTGCTTCTCATTTCTCCGAACAGGTTAAGCAACGAGTGCTTTCTCTAACCGTCTGGGATCTTTGCTGGGGAGACCTACAGCCCATCCTCCTGTTGTTCCATCTTGTTCTAGCCAAGACGCTCAATCTTCTTTCCAGTTTTAGCATGGAGCCAACGCTGCTCAAACTGACAAATCCTGAGTAGTGTGCAGAAGAAAATGAAAACCACCTTTGCCTCCACCCCCAACCCCCACCCCACAAAGCATGGTGAGGTCTAGGTAAGCAGCAGATTTCCTGATATACTTCTATGTTTCTTTAACTTGCCTTTCATCCATGGACATCTATAGTTAATTATTTTTCTATGGGGCCAGAGTGAGGGCAGTAGAGAGGGCATTTGCCTTGCAAACGGCTGACCTGGGTTCAATCCCTGGCATCCCCTATGGTCCTCTGAGCACCATTAGGAGTGTGTGGCAGAGCCAGAAGTAACTCCTGAGTGTTTCCAGATGTGACCAAAAAAAAAAACAAAAACAAAAAAGAGATTTTTTTATTATAGGCAGAATTTCTGATTTTTAAAAAATGTTTTCATTCCCTAGCTTCCTTTCTTGGGCACTTCTTACAAGTATCTATCCCTCCCCATTAGACTTTGATGATTTTTCATATTGCTATTACTTATAAAGCCCTAGAATGTCAATGAGCCTTCAGATCTCCCAATATTTTTTACTGGTGTAATGTTAATACTAGAACTATCTGACCCAACCAACTGAAGGCGGATCACTTGTGATTTGTTATCTCTTTTGTCTTATCTTCTCATCAGTTTGACCATAATAACCGTTAGAGCCAAGTCAAAACATTTAGCTGGTCAAACCATGCAATGGCCTATGCAGACAGAAATAATGGGTATTTTCACAGGCACCTTTTGGAAACAGCTGCTCTGCCATTGATGCCAGGCAATGTCTGAGATTGACTTTGGCTTACAAAGCTCTTTGCTTCCTCACACTGCTGCATGTTGAGGGAACATCTAGTCTGTGCATGAGTTGGGGTTCTCCTGACCCTCAGTGCTCCCTCATCCCCACATCATCCATGCAGATCTCCCACCTGGTGTGAGAATCCAGTCTTCCCTCCAGGTGTGAAAACTCTGAGCCCCTCCCTTCTCACTCAGGTCACCTCCCCGGGGTACCCCAGGCTCCAGCTAAGTCAGGCCCTTCAGTGACTTCTATTCACCCACCTTGCCTCTTCCTATACCCAGGACTTTGGGTGCACATCCACTGAGAATGATTGCTTTGCTCTCTGTCCACATGGAGAATTGCCATGGTAGCATGGCCCCTCATGCTCCTAAGAGCCCCAGAGAATCTACCTTGGTGAGGAGTCAGACCTCCCTAAAGTTCCTGTCACTTATGTCTTGATCAATGGTTCCCATCTGTTTGGTCCTTGATTCATCTCTCTCCAAGAGCTCTTCTCTATGTCTCCTCAACCTTTTGCAAACATGGAGCACATGGTTGGTCCCATGACTCTTACACTGAGACTTCTGGGTATTACTAATGGGATAAGATTTGTGCGTGACATGTTGTCCTGAACAATGGCTGAACCATGACCCACCTGAGTAGAGACTATCAGGGTTTCTGGAGAAAGTGGACATACCAGGGAGTGAGGGTTGAGTGACTTTCGTCTTTAGACACCAACCTCCACCGAGCCCTTTACTTTCACTCCTGAAAAGATTTACAGAGTCTGAATCCTTTCTTTCAGTTTCTCCAAGGCCAAGAGACAAAGGGGAAGAAAAGTCAGAGCAGACATGAATCAACCCAAATATTATCTTTTAAATTCCAATTATCTTCACAAAAATCCCCAGTGTCAGCATGGCTCTTTCCTTTTGAAGAGGTCAAATACTTTCACAAATGTTACTCATTTATCTTCTGGGCACTATCTGTCCACATTTCATGGAGACAGGACTCTTTAGCAGGATGGAATGCCGTGTGGAGCCTTATGCTCCGTGGCAGGTTTCCATCTGGGCTAGAGGACAAATGCTGGCCAGGAAGGGTGGAGAGGGGTGGAACTGCATCTGCTGAAGGGATGCAATGGTAACTTCTTTTTTGGTATGTCTTTGTACAAAGGGACTCAGGTGCCCAAGGACCCACAGAAGTGACCACACACCAGAGAGTGTGATCTGAATTCTGAACCTCCAGTGACTGGCACCCTCTCCAGCCTGTCATTGAACGGGCAGTTTATATCTTGCTCAATGGGTCCAGAATAAGAACTTAGATTTACATA